TTGTGTGTGAGGGAGGGGAGGGGGGGCGGGTGGGGGTTGAATTGGATGGGGTTGGTGGGGTGAGGGTTGGGGACTGGGTTGGGTTTGAGGCGTTTGAGGGGGGGTTCCGTTGTTGGTGTTGTTGTTGTTGTTGGGGTGTATGGTGGTGGTGGTGGTGGTGGTGGTGGATTTCTTGGTGGTGGTGATGAGGGTGGGGAGGGGATGAAGGTGTGGATTTTGAAGGGTCCCGTGGGGGGGAAGGCGGGGCTTAGGGGTTGTTGCTGTTGTTGTCGTTCTTGTGGTCGTGGTTGTGATAGCGGTTGTAGTGGTTGTGGTTGTTGTTGTTGTTGTAACTGTGTCGGTTGTGATAATGAGAATGATAGTGGTCGTGATAGTGGCTGTGGATATCGAGCTGCAGGCGCAGGCAGCAGACGACGGAAGCGTCGCGGGGGTGCAATCAACGTCGCCCGCGGACTCGTCGGACTGATAGACATGGGCGAGAAGTGCTCATCCTCCTCGGAGTCGGTAGTGGGAGACGAGGTGGTGGGAGGTGACGCTGGGACGATGATGATGCGCGGCGTGGGAGGGCCGTTTCCCTTTCCGTTTCGTTGCGGAGACATCTCGAATGTCTTTCTTGTCGACATTAGCTTGTAGATTAGACTAAAGGTGCTTCAACTGCAATTCTTAAGAGCAACTTGGACTTGTTTATTAAATGCACCAGGCTTGAGGAAGGAATCCCCCCCAAAAATATGCCCCTGCTAGAGGACAGCGGCTGGTTATACAGCTCGTCCTCCTTTGTTGATGCGAAGATACACAAGTCAACCGATGCTATAAAAACTCGAAACCGAAACACCACCTCGAGCTGCATAAACAATCATCCAAACCACTGCTTTATCCCTCTATTGTTCTTTCGTACAGTCGGTCTTTTGTCGTCGCGGGAACAAGACTACTGGCTATATTAAGGCTCTCTGTCTCACCGCAAACAACGCACGGCAATCCCTTTATGCGCCGAGTGCCCTTATCTCACCCGCCGGGGTGCCTCGGGCTCATCGCCAAATTAGGGCGGCTTCATTGTTCCTTTGTGAGGATCCCCCAAACAATGGATTCGACCGTCAAACAATAAACGCTGTATTGACTCGTGACTAAATCATCATCCTAGTTCTCATTAACCCACCAACTCACAATGACACAGTCTCCAGCCGCTTCTCCATCGACGGGGCCTTCGTCGCGCTGAACTCGGCATACTTGCTGGAGGCCGCGGGGAGGCCCGTGTACTTGTTGACCCAGTTCAGGACTGTGTAATGCCACATGAGTGAGTTCTCCGGGTTGAGCACCCAGTGATTCTCATCCGGGAAGGTCAAGAAGGCGCTATCTACCCCCTGCAATTGCAAGACATTGAACGCAGCCAGCCCCTCGGCGATGGTCAATCGGTAGTCCAGCTCGTTGTGGATGATCAAGTGCGGTGTCTGCCAGTTGGCTGTATGACGAGAGGGATCCCAGCGCTCCCAGTTCTCGGGCACCTTCCACAACGGTCCCTTCAGGTCCCGCAGCGGGAAGTAGAGCTCTTCACTGGCGAGCATCGAGTTCATGCTGAACACTCCATCGTGTGTCACAAGCGCCTTGAACCGCCGACCCAACGGGTGACCCTGGATCCAGTTGACCATGTACCCACCATAAGAGGCGCCGAGAGCCACCGCTCGCGAGGTATCGACATAGTCCAGATTCTCGGCAATGTAGTCAAACCCCTTCTCAAGGTCGACGTAGGGTAGCGAGCCCCAGGCATTACGAATCTCGTCCGTGAACCTCTGCCCGTAGCTGGTGCTGCCGCGAGGATTAGGTGTGACGACAACATAGCCCTGCTCGGCAAAGATCGCCGGGTTCCATCGAGTGCTCCATTGCTCGCACCATGCGCTCTGAGGACCTCCATGGATCAGATATGCCAGCGGATACTTCTCCCCCGGCTTGAAGTCGGACGGCTTCACCACCCACGCATGGACGGGGGTGTCGTTGGCGCCACGGTACCAGATTTCATCCACCTGCGTGGGCGACAGCCCGAAAGAAGCACCGTCGCGTCCGATCGAGGATATCACACGGACGTCCTTCGGCGATTCTGGATCAATAATCGACCACTTGCTGTTGTCCACAAGACTGCTACTAGCTATGAGTAATTTGCTAGAGTTGGCTGCTGCGGGGTACACCTCCGTCACAAATCCCGAGTGTGTCAGCTTCTTCAGCACATCAGGAGTAGAGTGGCGGACATTCTCCAGGGGTAACTGGTAAAGAACTCCTCGTCCGGTCTCCTCGACCTGGATGATCAATGACTTGTCATCATGTGCAAAGGTCAACCCTGATGGACTCAGAGGCCAGGCGCCTTCTCCATCCGGCGATGCAAAGATCTCAATCATCTCACCACTCCACGGATTAGGCACGTAGAGGATCCGTCTCTTATCTGACTCATAGCCGTCCTCACGCATCGCCAGGAGCGCGATGGAGCTACCATCCGACGTCAGAACTGGGGAAGACATGGCTCCTTCGAGGCCTTTCACAGCGCACACTCTAGTCTCCATGGCAGTCACACTTGTCCAGGAGAACATCGGACAGTAGTAGCATGAGCAGGACGTGTGCGTGGCGGGGTTTAAGCTCGGATCCTTGGCTACGAACACAATGGCCTCCGGACTGATGTCAAAGTCACCCGTGCCCCCAAACGGCGGAATCGGCGATTCCACACCCGTCAAGCCACACACTTGAATCAAGTTGGTGAGCCCTGAGACAGCGTACTTCCCGGCTTGTCGGGTGGGCGGAGACAGGGGTGCCTGCTGGAGCAGACCATACCAGATGGCATTCTTCTGGGGCTCGACATACGAGTCCCAGTGTCTCACGAACAGCGAAGTATAAAGGCGCCCGGTGCTGGTCGGCTTCTTCGCGTCGTGCGGGTTGTACAAGGTGCCGTCCGTGTTGGCCTTGCCGGTGACCGCAAAGCCAATCCTCCCCGGCTCGACAACGGTGACCTTGAGGTCCGAGACTGGGCCAGGAACCGTGCCCGCGGTGTAGGTTTTGTCTGCCTCGCGGGCATCGCCGATGATGAAGCTCGTGTTGCCGTTCGCCTTGGCCTTCAACCAGACGAGCTGATTGCTGTCGCCTAGCCACTGGGGACAGCTGGCGCCGGCATCGTTTGTGATTAGAGCCGACCTGCCGCTCTCAATGTCCAAGACTCGGATCTCGTTGGTTTTGGAGTGGGATTCGAACGAATAGGTGGTCTGGGTGTACACCGCAAGGGTGCCTGAGGCATTCGGCACAGGGCCAGAGCGCCGAGGAGCTCCCAGGAGAACTCTGGCGTGGATCAGTATAAGAACCTAAGTGTTGCAAGCTTCATTGACGACGAATCAAGGACAAGACAGGCTGAAATGAAATGATAACATACTCTGGAGTGAACTTCATGGATCGGATGGTCATGACACTGCGACCGGCAAGGGTCCGATAGATAAGATAGATAGCTTGAATGCGGTAGCTCTAAGTGATGATAAGAGTAGCACAATCCGCACACCGCAGCGGATCCCTGATGAGGAATTATCGAAAGAAGAAGATGAGTTTAAGAAGGGAAGAGTGATGATAAAGGGATGAAAGGGTAAGGTGAGTTGTGAGTTTGAGTTGTGCGACATTGGGGACCGTGAGGGGAAGAAGAGCGGAGGTGGCGTCAGGGCGGCTGGTCATTCCCGCACTTGACTTGCTCTGGTTCTTCTCCGGGAGGCCCGATTGGGATACTACCGTACTACTACTGACTGTGTACTACTTGTCACAAACGACATGTCTAAATCATCGTATCTCCCCATTAGAACATATAATTACAGACAATCATACAGAAACTTCCAAATTTCAACTGTCTACTCTTCCTCCACCTCCTCCTCCTCGCTCTCGTCCTCATCCATACCCTCCGCCGCCGTGACCGAGAAGGTAGGAGCTTGGTCCACGCCCACATAGCTGTCACTCATCAGGTACAACGTCAGCTCATGCTCTCCCGGCGTGGGAACAATGTACTCCAGACGCAGATCCAGCTTCCGGCCGATAGTGACCCGCTTGATAGCGAGCAAGTTCTTGGTCTTCTCATCGCCGACGACCAACCACCAATTCTCCATCTTCTTGCTAGGGTAGAATGGTGCGTGCACGGTCGTATCCGGCTCCTCGTCCTCCTCCACCTCTCGCTCGATCTTGATCTTGAGATAGGCCGGCTCGCCCGAAGTGATGTTCTCGGGATCCTCAACCTCAAAGTCAAGCTCCAAGTTGGGATATTTCTCGTTCGTGAAGGCAGCAGCCTGGGCCAGCTGCTTGTTGTCCAGACCAAGACGCTTGATCAATGTCGCGTAGTCCTTGTTCTCGGAAGGATCCATGGCTTCCATGAACTCGAAGATGTCGTTGATGCTGACGGCAGAGTTAGCGCGGGTCAACTGGAAATTCCTGGGGGATATATACTTATACTCATTTGCCACCTTGATAGCCTCGGGGCCGAAGTGAGGAATCTGCTTCAATGGACTATCCCGGTCCCACATGGCCTGGACAACCATCTGTGACATCTCCATCGCATTCATCGCGTTCAAATGTCCCTCCGAGGAGAGGACATCCACACACGCACTCAGGAGGTTGAGCACCTTGCCGACAATAACTTCCTGGTCCTTGGCAAGATCAATGGGCAGTTGCATGCGCGAGAAATGAGCTTGCAGCAGCACAAATGCCTTGAAGTGGGGCGAGTCGTACGAGGTCTCGGCCATCTTGACCGGTACACGATCATACACGCGGCGAAGAATGTGGTCCTCGTGACGACGCATCTGGATGTTTTCAAACTCCGTGGCGGAAGTGATGATCTCCAGAATGCCCTTGAGCTTGGTACGCGCCGATAAAGAGAGGAGGAAGGTCTGCATAGTGATAAAGGAAATGTTGTAGTAGGAGGCAATCATGGCGGCGTTCAGAGGAGCGACGCTGTCCTCTTCCTCATCCAGATCCACAATCCTGGCGTCCGACAATTCCTTCAGGGTGTTTTCGAGCAGCTCAGAGAGGAACGTACTAAGACCCTCGTGGCTGACATCGGCCAGACCGTAGAAGCTCGGGTTAGCCAGCAAGCGGCGGTAGAAGTAGGTGTGCGTCATCCAATCAATGGCGTCTTGGGTCGAAGTAATCGTTCTCGTGCTAATCTCGGTGACAAACGCATCATGCAAGTAAGCCTGCAAGTGACTCTCGACAGGCAAAGCCTCGTTCAAGAACTTCTTGTAATAATCGCGCTTGACGGCAGGCACCATGAGCACGCCACGGCCAAGCTTGTCATCGCCGGGACGAGAAGCCTTGCCGAACATCTGAAGGATCTCACTGATTGGGTAGTCAATGTAGCGGTGCTCACGGCCCTCGAAGAATTGAGTGCCCATGACAATCACCAGATGTGCCGTCAGGTCGAGCTCCCAGCAAACATCACGGGAAGCAAGGAGAACCTGAATAGCGCCAATGGAGAAGAGGTGAGACACGATGCGCTTATCAGTAGCACTCAAAGCCTCATGGTAATAACCGATGCCGTGGGAAAGAGACTCAGCCAACGTCTGTTCTTGAATTCGACCAAGAAGAGGAGCAAGCTCGTTCACATCTGCGTTGAGGAACCGGTCCTCATCGTCATCCGTGGCACAAGCAGCCAACAGGTCCATGGCAGTAGCACGGGTTTGCTTGCGGCTAGGCACGAAGACGATGGCCGGCTTATCAGCAGACAACTGCAGGATGGAGTGGTATGCTGGTCGGGCCATGGCAAGCATGAGCGAAGGGAAGTGCGGAATGGTGAACGATTGAATGTGGAGCTCCAATGGCACTGGTCTGGCGTGAGGGCTGAAGTTGTAGATCGTGTGTTTATTGGCGCCAATCCACTCGCCGATGTCGCGAGCGTTCGCAAGAGGCACACTCAAGCCGATGATGCGCATGCCATTCTCGATCTCCAGAGCCATGGAGTGCATGCGCGAAACAACCACTTCATACACGTATCCGCCATAGCCTCCGAGCATGTGCAGCTCATCGGCGATGAAGAGTTGCACCGTCCGGACGTTCTTGCGCTTCCGCCATTGCCGAGACAAGACATCCCATTGACTTGGTGTGGCAAGAACGAGATCGGCTCGTTCCAGAAGTCTGAGGTCGGCGGTGGTTTCGCCAGTAAGCTTGACGATATTCTTGCCACCGGAAAGCTGGCTCAGTCGCTTCTGCCAGTCCGCCAGACGCTGGTCAACGAGCTCTTGGAATGGAGCAAGGTACACAGCACGGCCGCTATCCTGCTGGGACAAGTGACGCAACAAGGCAAGCTCGGCACACACAGTCTTTCCGCTACCAGTAGGAGCACCAACAAACACGTTGTCATCTGTGTCGAAGAGAGACTTGAAAGTTTGCGTCTGGATTTTGTTGAAGAACTGCCAGTCGGAGTACAGTTGCTGGAAATCTTCGCGCTTCAATGCCTTCACTGGTGCCCTTTGCATATCCAGGAGAGGAGTGTGGGGCGGGAACCGTTCAGGAAGGATCAGTTTTTGGAAGGAAACGGCAATCTTGGTTTCCGAGTGCATCCAGCGATCGGATACCAGCGAAATGAAGTAGTTCGGAGGCATAGGCTCGGAGATGGGGACAGTGAACTCGACGAGATGCTCGTTCATCTCCGATTGTGCGTGGTCTTTCCGCAGAAGGAACTGGTCATGGAATAAGATCTCCTCGCCATCGCAATCCTCCACCAGAATCCAAAAGTCTTGAGCAGAGCCATGCAGTGTCTCGTCCCAAACGAAGTTAGGAGTGATCGTCAGCTCGACCCGTAGCATGGAGCGAGTGACGGGTTGAACCTGGGCCTGAACCTCCAGACGAGGGAACTTGGAGACAAGATCGCAGACAACACGTCCAGCCTTGGGCATACCTAGGAGCTCACCCATGCGAGGAGGATCAAGATCGAAGTAGCTACCCCAAGGGACGTCGATTCTCTCCGCCTTCTGCAGAATGTCTCTTGGGCAGGACGGGAACTGACGAAGGGGTGTCATCGTGGGCCACATGCGCCGCTCGGCCATCTTGCACAGGTTGAGAGCAGTCTTAGCCACAGATGACCATCCCTTCTTCAATGAGATCTCGTAAATAGCGCGCAGAATACGACCAGCTGATTGGGTAACATAAACCATATCTGCCATCAGGGCAAGTCCTTCCAGCTTGAGGCGAGAGATGTAAGCTTGGAGCAAGACATTGATCTTGGAATGAGGCTCGTCGATTCCTTCCTTGACAGGGACAGGCACACGACCAAGTAGTTTCGCAAGCTCCAGCTTCTCATCCTGACGGACCGGAATGTACTTGAATTCATCGCTAAGAGCGAAGATTCGGAACAGCTCGATCGTGGTGATGTTAGGCTGGAGGTGCTGAGAGTAGGTCAACATGGAGTTGTGGCCGATGTAGTAGTGGGAAGCGATACGGCCAAGCTCCGTGGATTGCATACGACCTGTTTTCTTGTCATACTTTACGAGGCCTGCTCTTTCCAGAATCACGGCCGCAGAGTGGACAAGATCAACGCGCTTTTGCTCAAGGGCGTCATCATTTTCATAGTCTGCACCCACACTGTAGAGGCCAGGTGAGCGGAGCATGCGGACGAACAAGTAGGTATAACCCAGCCAGTCAACTCCCTCGTCACGAGTACGAATGTTTCCGAGAACAATCTCGGCATTCATATTGTCAGCAAGCTTACTGACGAGCTGACTCTCGATTGGCAATTGCTGATTCAAGAGGGAAAGGTAATACTGGATTTCGGTTTGCGTTGTGATAATGATACCTTCACCGAAGGTGTCGTATTGAGGTCGTCCAGCACGTCCCAACATCTGCAGGACATCTTGAGGGCTGAGTTCGACCCAGCTACCCTTCTCAGGCGAGTAGATCTGAGTGCCCTTGATGATAACTGTGTGGGCAGGCAAGTTGACACCCCAGGCAAGAGTTGCTGTACATACGAGGACTTGGATGCTGCCGTCAGCAAAAAGCGCCTGGACGGAGTCTCGATCAGCAAGACTGAGACCAGCATGGTGAATACCAAACCCATAAGGCAACAAATCCTTGAGCGAGGCGTCATCAACCGACTCAGCTTCTTCAGCCAAGATAGCTCTGCTTGCAGCATCACTGCGCAGAATCTGGCCGATGGTCTCCATCTCAAGAGCCTTGTCTCTGATGTACTTGGCCGTCTTGGCGGTCTCCTTTCGCGAGTGGACGAAAATGAGCATCTGGTTCCGTTTTTGTCCGACTTGCTCAAGGACTTTGGTGTAGCAGATATCGTTCATGGTCTTCAGCTGCTTGATGGCCTTCTTTTCCGTAACGCCAATGAACTCCTGTTTGAGAGGACAAGGTCTGTAGGAGCCATCGAAGTGGAAGAGGCCCTTCGCAGGATCAACGCGCAGGAAGCTGGCAACATCCCGGTAGTTGGGGAGCGTAGCACTGAGACCAACAATTCGGACTGGGTCGCCAGTCTGTTCTACCTTGCGGATGGTTCTGCTAACAATACTCTCGATGACAGGACCACGCTCGTCGTGAAGAAGGTGAATTTCATCAATGACGATCAGACGGACCAGTCTGGTGTAACTCGTCTCCGAAGCCTTTCGAGTGATGACATCGTACTTCTCAGGAGTGGTGACGATAATCTGAGTCTCAGCAATCTGCTGCTTCGTAAGTTGACGATCACCGCTCAATTCCGCCACCTTGATGCCATAAGGCTCAAGACGTTTGCCGAGGTTCCCGACCTGTTCCTGTACAAGTGCCTTCAAAGGGGAGATGTAGATGATTTTGAAGTCGTCTAGCATGATCTCGCCCGTCTGCGGGTTCCGATTCTTGCCAATCTCGCGGAGGATGGTAAGCATGGCAACATTGGTCTTTCCTGAACCGGTGGGGGCACAGACAAGCACGTTGCCATCGTCGTGAAAAGCGGTCGGGAAGCACTTAGATTGGATCCGGTTGAGTTCCTTCGAACTCCCAAAGCCAACGCGAGCCCACTCGGGCAGCTCGGTCGTAGGAAGATTCTTCTCGCCAGGCTCTTTCTTAGCTTGAGGAGGGGGCACGTGAATTTCTTCATATCCCTTAAATGTTCGCTTCGTCGAGCCCTGGGGCAGCTTGACGCTAGGGTTGGTCATCAAGTGATTACCTTGATGGAACACAAGGTTCTCCAAATTGATCAATCTCTTCGGCTGCAGGCCTCGGACCAATCCTCCATCCTCCTTCTTCTCTTCCGGCTGCTGAGGAGCGTTTGGAACATCCACATCCATCAAGTCTAGCTTGATCTTTTTCGAGGGACGACCGGCGCCTTCGTCGCGGCTGGTCTTGCCCCGGATCTCGTCCAAAATAGCGCGGTGTCCAGCTTCAACCATTTCACTCTCGACCAGATGGCGGGCATCGGCGTCTTCAGCGACTCGGCGCCAACGGGTGACCCATACAATCTTATCGCGGTTGGTGACCAAAGTGGCGACAAGCTCAGGCTGCTCATAATCGAATAGATCCATCAAGTCATTTTCCACGTCGCGAAGAGGTCGCACCTCGCCATCCTCGCCTTGACCTCCAAGAATCTCGAGCGCTTGGGTCGCCTTCTCATGTTGTACGTGAGCATCCGGATATGCGTTGCCGATTTGGCGTTGAAGCCAGTAAGCATCGATTTCTCGTGCAAAAACTGTGGTTTTCTTATTGCCGCGTTCGCTCCCACGGTCTAACCCGCCGTCGATGACCATCTCTTCGGCGCCCTCTAGTCCTTCGAGGTCTGCCTTCTCGGTCGTTGCGTCATCAATACCAGGGACATCCTGTTGGTCGGTTTCGTCTTCGGAAAGTTCGTCGTCGTCGCGCACTTCGTCCAGGGTGCCCATGCGCTCATCGTCCTCATCCTCCTCGTCGAAAACGACAGCAACACCCTGACGCTCATCCAATTCCGCCTCTCCTTCGCCAGCCAGACCGTCGCCCATCTCTTCGTCATCATCCTGGGCATCGTAATCCGTGATCTTCTTGCCCAGGTTGACAAGCTCATTAAATTCCTTGGGGTTCATCGAACTGCCCAGCAAGTCATCAATCTCCTTCTTCTTGTCGAAATCCTTCATATCCTCGTCTTTCAGCAATTCCAGCACCGCGTCCGCCGCACTGCGGACCACTTCATGTGGTACATCGCCCAGATGGCTGGCGGTCATTGTGAGGATGAGGTCATAGGTGGCTCGAGTGGCCGGGGTGCGAGGACGGTACTTCAGGCCCTCGACGAGGGCATCGGCAGCGGACAGAATACCGTGGCCGCGTACTTGCGCCGGTTGACCCCGCTGGGTCTTTCTCTGTTCGCGGGCGAGGACATCCTCGCCTTCGCGGATGGACCCTCGCTCGATGTCCGTCAAACCGGCCTTCTTCTTCGTCTTCGGCGCATCGTCCCGCGCCATCCTCGATCCCATTTCCCGGATGCTGATGCGGCCGGCGAGAGACTCCGGGTCACCGGTGGGTTCATCGTTGACACGAGAGATGAAACGACGGTCCGCCTGGAGAACCAGGTTGGACATCGCCGAGTATTTGTACTGGGAGATATTTTGGTCGGCCATTTTGATGGTCTCTGATGGGAAATGCAAGATACGGAGAAGAAGGGAGGACTAAAAACGATCGTGAGGTGAGTGCAGGTGAATCGTCGTCTGAGGCTCGGTGGAGCTCAGATTCAGCCGGCGGCGCGTCGTGGCACCGGCGACAAGCACTTGATGGTGAGGGTGGCTCTGTATAATAGTGTAAAGTCGTTCAGTTAGGTTTCACAAACCCGGACCATCCTCCGACAAGAAAAAGCACACTCGTCGGCGGCAAGGTTGCGAGCTGCTGAGGAGGAGGAGGAGGAGGAGGGATTCTTGCGGAGTTGAAGGAGTTGGCGTTGCGAAGTTCGGTAAGGTCTCGTCCCAGCAGAAGCAGATTTGAGTGGCAAAGCGGGAAGGTTTGACGAACGAACGAACAGCTACAACCTGTGACAGCCTGAGGCATCCACATCCCGCCCTGGTTTCTGCCGCCGCTTTCTGATCCGATTCGGTCAAGCTTCACGCGTATACAATTAATTCTTCTCGGCACGCGAAGACAGACCAGAAGTTGGCGCAAACGGGGTCGAGACGATGCGCTTTCATGGAGTATCGATTCCCCATCTGATTAACACGCAGCTATATTCCAGTGTTGGTCGGACTGGCTGTCCTCCTTACCGCTGTCATGTCCACCGCACCATCTGTCATCATGCCCGGAGGCCGAATCTATGCATTCCCAGGGTGGCCGCTACCCCATCAGTCCCGCATAGAACTGCCAAATCCAAATCTGTTGTGAAAATGAAAGACTTGCCTCAGGGGGCGTTGAAATTGGAACCCTACGATGATGGCGCCAATGATGGTCCTCAGTACCCTGTCGTTTTGCAGGGGCATCGGAACAACATGCAACGGTTTAGGAACTGTGTAGTGCTGACCCGTGTTGGCGGATTCTACGAGGTATGAAAACATCTGACTCATGGTTTCATATTTCAAGCTGTTCCTTTGTACGTATATCTGCTGACTCGAGTTTAGCTGTATTTCGAACAAGCCGAAGAGCTGGCTCCCTTGCTGAACCTTAAACTGGCTATAAGAAGGACAAGCGTCGGGCCTGTTTACATGGCCGGCTTCCCTTTCTTCCAACTGGACCGGTTCCTCAAGATCCTTGTCCAGGACTTGAGCAAGTATGTGGCCATTAGTGAAGAGTTCGCCAACGATGCCGAGGGCAAGCTTCGCACTGGGGGTCTCCAATTCGATCGCAAGGTCGCCAGGATCATCACACCTGGTACTCTGATTGATGAGAAATTCATGGATCCATCCGAGAATAACTTCCTGCTAGCAATCTTTATAGATGGCAGCTCTGTGGAACAGCAGGTAGAGCAGGACGACGGGGCTACGAAGCAGCACGTTCTGCCATCTACGTCTCAGAATGTAGGCTTGTCCTGGCTGGATCTCTCCACCGGCGACTTTTTCACGCAAGTCACCACGGCACAAATGCTGCCGTCGGCTATTGCCCGGATCGGCGCTCGTGAGATCCTGGTGGATCAAGCCCTTGGAGACGGGGTCAGGCAAGAGCTGCAGCTGCTGACCGGACACGACCACCGGTTGATGACATTTTTCCCATTTCCATCGAAGATCGAGCCCATGACGAAGTGGGGGCCTGTGCTTGAAGCACCCATATCTGCCAAAGCCGCGGCGTCTTTTACCTCTGAGGAAGTGGCTGCTGGCTTCAGCCTTCTCGAATACATCCGGGTGCAGCTACAAGGGCTGAATATGAAGCTTCAGCCTCCGCGCCGTCGAGATCTGGACGAATCCATGAGCATTGACCGGAACAGTCTGAGAGGCTTGGAAATCCTAGAGACGGCCCGGGATGGCTTTGGGAAAGGGAGTCTGCTTCATGCGGTGAGCAGGACTTCGACCAAAAGCGGTGCCCGGTTGCTACGTGATCGCCTAAGTATGCCCATAGGCACTTATGTCCAGTCATCATTCTTGTGCTAACTCACAGCGCAGCATCACCTTCGACGTCCATGACTGTGATTAACGAACGATTGGACCTTGTGTGTACCTTCATCGACGACGCAGAATTGCACCGCAATGTCATCGATTACCTGAAGCGGAGCTATGACGCGCAGCGGCTCGTCCAGAAATTCACTCTCGGGCGGGGAGATGCAGATGACCTGATATGTCTATCTCGAGCCATTGAAGCTTCGAAGGAGATCAGGCGGGTGTTGATGAGCAAAAAGCGCAAATGCAAGGATACGCCAGCAGCTCAGAGCCTCAAATCCATGACTGATCGCCTGTATATGAATGGGCCCATCATCCTGGCCGAGAAGATCTTGGCAGCGATTGATGAAGAGGGGTTGCTACAGAAGCAACGCATCGAGGACGACACGGCTGCTGAGGCGGCAATGCTCGCACAGGAGGTAGCCTTGAGTGAAGCCCTCCCGGGCGAAATAGAGACACTGCCGAAGAAGGTCAGGACGAAGAGCGGTGAACGAGGTGGCAGCGGGGCAAGCGATGAAGCGTCGGCCGTCGAAACCTGGATCATGCGGCGCGATGCCAGCCCGGCTCTCCAGGACCTCCACCAGGAACTGGACCGTCTGCATAACGAGAAAGCGGAACTCACCCAGCGCCTTCGCGACGCTGTCGGGTCGACGGCTCTCACCCTCAAATGGACTCCGGGTCTAGGCCACATCTGTCACGTCAAAGCTGCTAAGATCTCCCAAGCGTCATTAGAAGATCTGGGAGTGACACGGAATGTCTCAATGACCAAGTCTACCCGGTCATTTTATCTGCCGGCGTGGACCGAGCTGGGCGGCCAGATGGACCAAGTCAAGCTCCAGATCCGGCAGGAAGAACAGGCGATCTTCGAGGCCCTGCGCCGCGAGGTCATTCTCAATCTTGTCAAGATCCGCCGCAACGCAGCCGTGATGGACGAGCTGGACGTCGCATGCTCCTTTGCCACCCTGGCCCACGAACAGCGGCTGGTCCGTCCGGTCTTCGTCGAGGGCACATGCCACAAGATTATAGGCGGTCGACATCCCACAGTCAAGCTGGGCCTGGAGGAGCAGGGCCGGCGGTTCGTCAGCAACGATTGCTTCTTGGGCGACCCGGACCGCATCTGGCTGGTCACCGGGCCCAACATGGCCGGCAAGAGCACCTTTCTCCGACAGAACGCCCTAATCACGATCCTGGCGCAAGTGGGGTCCTTGGTTCCGGCCGACTACGCGGAGATGGGCATTGTCGACAAGATCTTCAGTCGCATTGGCGCGGCCGACGACTTGTTCCGCGATCAGTCCACTTTCATGGTGGAGATGCTGGAGACGGCGGCCATCTTGAAGCAGGCGACTCCACGCTCCTTCGTCATCATGGACGAGGTGGGTCGGGGCACGACCCCGGAGGATGGGACTGCCGTGAGCTTTGCGTGTCTGCACCACCTGCACTATCACAACCGCTGCCGAACGCTCTTTGCGACCCACTTCCACGCGCTGGCAGACATGACGCAGGACTTCGAGTCGCTCGGCCGGTATTGCACCGATGTCAAGGAGACGGCAAACGGGGGGTTCTCGTTTGTGCACCGGTTGCGCAAGGGCGTGAACCGTGAATCGCACGCATTGAAAGTCGCCCAGCTAGCTGGACTGCCCTCGGAGACCATTGAACTGGCGCGACAAGTGCGTCAAGGACTGCCCAGTACCTCCGACGGGTCCAGCCAAACAACCGCCCCTGCTTGACGCACACCATTGCAGCAAGCACTCAAATCTCTCCCCATTCAGCACAGCGCACTTAGCAATATGTACAGTATATTTCCCCCACCGACACACCACCTCTTTACTAGCTTACCACCCCATTTCGGGTTCCCCACATTATGTACAGTACTTTCCCCCTCCAGTTCCAATATATACCCCACATTCCAATCCATAGCTTTCCCACCAACGTACACCGCACTCCCAATCTCAAAGCTTAGCCTTCAGCCCCTTGCCTTCTCCCGAACCCTCCGAACCCTGCGCCACCTCCACCACCACCCCCTCCCCAAACACCACCTCCTGCACATCCTCCTCAGCAACCCCATTCATAAACTGCACGACCAAAAAGTCCACGCGCCGGGACCCAATCACCGCCATAGGCGCATGCCACGTGCCCGCACCATAGGTAACCGCCTGGCCACCGCGGGCCACGAACGCCTTCACGCGGCTCAAATCCGGCGGATCCACCACCGTCACCACCTCCCCTGAGCTGGTCGTCGCCTGGGCGGTCGTGCCCTTGAGGGAAGGCGCCACGACGACGAGATAGTAAGGCTCCGGCTCGGTTTCCGTGGCGGTGGCGGCGGGGGTGGCGGTGGCGGGCTGGCTGGAGAGGTCGAGCGGGGCGAAGGTCTGGGTGGTGAAGGGGTGGCGTTCGAGGATGCGGATGTCGAAGACGGCGGAGGAGGTGGAAGAAGTGGGAGAGGCGGGGCGCAGGGTGCGCGGGAAGCATGAGAACATGGTCATGCGCGCGGCAGAGGCGCGCCCGCTCGGACAGTTGCCGGCATAGTGGTCGTCTAGCGGGGAGATGGGACTGTATTTCAGGGCGGTGTTTTGGTTCGCGAGGACGGGCGTTGGGTGCAGCGCGGCCAGGGCGGAGGGTGGTGGTGGGATGGTTGCGGTGCGGGGGAGGGGGGAGGTGATGGCGGTGCCGTAGGGAAGGAAGGCGGATGGGGTGAGGGGGGAGGGGGTGAGGGTCAGGGTTGGCGTTGGTGAGGTCAGGGTAGGGGGGGACATGATGATGGTGGTGGTGGTGGTGGTGGTGGTGGTGGTGGTCAAATCGGTTGTTTGAATGCAATGGGGGTGGTAAAGAGAGGGAGAGGAAGGGTCTGGAGGTGGTTTTATACTCAAGTCAGTCAAGTCTGGGGGAAATGGGGTTCTCGGTCGAGAAGTCACTATATCCAGTCCAGACTAGCTGATAAGTGGGTTGAGTTATCGGCAGTCGCCGTTATCTGCCCCCGGCGGAAGAGGCCGGTTCTGTCGCGTCGATTGGGTAATTGGGTAATTGGGTAATGGACCAGCTTCGTTACTCGGTGGTTACAGTGAAACTGGTCTACATTGTGTTGCTTGTTGCTTGTTGCTTGTTGCTTGGGGGTGTAGCTTGTGCTTCTCTACTCCGTACTTTGGTGGTGTCCCCTGTGTAAGTTATATCGCTGTGGTGACACAACTCAGTCAGTCATGCCCTACTATCCCCAGCATTAAGTTTATGTCTGTCATCCGAGACTATCCGCTTGTGCATGTGCATGTGCAGGACTTACTCATTATTATGATGTCCGACCTGACCCGATCCACAGGATGCAAACATTCATCTCCACTGGAGTGTCTCAGCCACCGAACTTCCCCCGCCAGGATGTGGCAGTGTCAGTTTCGCGTCAGCCTTATGCTTGCCTGGAACAGGCAGGAACCAAGCAAATTCCAATGACTGCAGTGGGGGAAATTTAGGTACCAGAACTAATGTAGCGATTATTGCCCAGCACAGCCACGCCCGGTGGTCAGGCACCGGGCAGTGAATCCACTCTACGCTGCTCCTCTAACTTACAAGCAAGCGCTTATATAGCCCAACTCTCCTCTTCGCTCTCGCTCTCGCTCTTTCTTTTCTCTTCCCCACTTCTCTCTTCTCCCATCTTTCCCTGGTCTTTACTTTCAGAAAACAACCCCTTCTACCAAAAACATCTCAGCTTCATAAAGTCACCAGCCAACCCCGATGTCAGCACAAGAATACTTCGGCGGGTCTTCTCAGAACCCTCCTCGTCGGGAGGAATCCCACACTCCTGGACCCTGGAACTCATCGACGCCTGGACCAGACACGCCTCGCACCGGCGCCTACAGTCCCTACCCTCCCTCCGAGAACTACTATCGTCCGAACTCCAACCCCAACCCCAATCAAAACTACTATGCCTCCCCACCAGACCCCCGGATGGCGCAGGGGTCATGGAGCGGACCTTCTCCGTCCCCCTCCCTAGGCGGCGAAGGCTACCCCCACCAACCGTACGGCCAGCAACCGCAACCCCCGTATCCCCAGCACGGAGGACCATCCCCCAACCCCTCCGGCTACCCCCCATACCCCCCCCAAGAGGGAAGCGGAGCACCCTACAACGACCGCCCATATTCCCCCTACCAACAACAACAACAGCAGCAGCAGCAGCAGCAGCAGCCAGGCCACCAGCAACCCCCACCCTACAGCACCAACCCCAACCTACCGCCCGGGGCCACCGATGACCAAGACCGCGGCTTCCTCGGGGCCGTCACCGGCGGCGCAGCCGGCGCCTTCGCCGGTCACAAGGTGAACCACGGGTTCCTCGGCGCGATCGGCGGCGCGCTGACGGGCTCCGTCGCCGAAGACGCGATCAAGAACCACCGCAAGAAGAAAGAGGAGGAGGAAAAAGAAGCCCTGCGCCGGCAGAAGGAGGCCGAGAAGGAGCAGAAGCGCCGCGAGAAGGAAGAGCGCAAGATGCAGCGCCGCGCCGACCGCCACCGCCGCCACTCCAGTTCTTCCTCTTCCTCATCGTCCTCGTCCGACGACGAGCGCAAGCACCGCCACCACAATCGTCCCTCCTTCCGCGGGAACTTCTCCGGCTCCTCCCGCGAGATCCGGCTCGAGGGGTACCACGAGCTCGTGGCGTACTGCGGCGACGTCGATGGCCGCCAGCACCGCTCGGTCATCCCGCTGAACGACGTGCTCACCAACTCCTGGGGCGAGCTCAAGTGGGCCCGCCACGGCAATTTCGCCGCCTCGGCCAGTAATGTCCACCTGGAGGATGGGGGCCGCGTCTTGGTGGCGGATCTGGGCGATGGGAATGGCGGGTGGAAGCGGAGCTGGGTCCGTTTGGATGAGAGGATCTCGAATCAGAATGGGCGGTTGGTGTTCCTGGATTAGATGGTTTGGTGTGGTTGGTTGGTGCGGTAATGATGAGATAGTATTTCGCTGGAGGATAACCTGCAATAAAAGCGGTTTCCTGTGGATCATGGGTTTTAACATTAGCTTTCTGAGACTGAGCTTGTGGCTATTGAGCATCGAGTTCTACCGAGTAGTACGTAGTTGTCTTCCATCTTACAATCTCGAATAATGCGGCATGGTATCACTTAATGGACAGTCCTCTGATCGAAGCATTTCAACCAATCAGTCTCTCAGGGTAACAACACCGTTCTACTACCAGGGATAATACACGCCGAATCTCATTCTCAATCTACCTCAGCAAACCAATCCATCCACCTTACGAGTTAAAATATATATATTCAAAGTAGAATAAACGAACGAAAGAAGCGAAAGATATATGACACAGAAAAGAAAGATAAGTGGGTCAAGAGCAGTATCGAGACACCAGTCTGTCTCAGGGATAGTTGGATGTTTATACAGATGCAGAATAAAGAAATTTCAAAATGAGTGGTACACCAAAGTCTTGGGATGTGGGTGCGGTATGTGATCAGGCTTTAGGCAACCGGTGTCACGGCCGGCGTGATCTGTAGTGTTGGTGTTGGTGAAGCCATGATGCTGAAGGTTGAGGATGGATAGGCCCAGGCCCAGGCGGGGCGGGAGCTGGAGGCCGCGGGTGTGGAGGAGGGGATTGCGGCGGAGGTGGAGCTGCCGTTTATTAGGGGGGTGGATGAGGAGGGGGCGGTGGATTGGTTGTTGTTGGGGTCTGAGGTGTCAGGAGAGGACGAGGAGGAGCCGTCGTCCGAAGAGCCATCGTCTGAAGAGCCATCGTCTGAGGAGCCATCGTCTGAAGAGCCATCATCAGAGGAGCCATCGTCGTCTGAGGATCCGTCATCTGAAGAGCCATCATCTGAGGAGCCATCATCTGAGGAGCCATCATCTGAGGAGCTGTCGTCAGAGGAACCATCGTCTGAAGAGCCGTCATCAGAGCCATCGTCGGAGCCATCGTCAGAGCCATCGTCAGAGCCATCGTCAGAGCCATCGTCAGAGCCATCGTCAAAGCCATCGTCAGAGCCATCGTCACCATCTTCAGAATCCGGCATGGCTGACGGCGCAGCGCTGGGCTCTACAATAGTGCTACTACCAACATGAACACTTGCACTAGCCGAGTGATCTGCGCCGGGTGTATGAATAGCATGTGTACTGGTTGCCGTGACCGAGTGGTCAGCATGATGTGAGGTATGAATAAGCTTGGTAGCAGACGTGTGCACTGCCACAGTGGAAGATGCATGGCCTGCTTTGACAGAGCGTGTCACGGATCTAGACGCGGTCTCTTTAGCGGTTGTAGGATTGTGCCCCGCTTCCACGGGGGTTGTGATAGACTTGGATGCTGTATCGACTCGGGTCGAAGAGGCATGGTTCAGATCTGCAGTGCTTGTGACAGACTTGGTGGCCGTCTCAGGCTTGCTCGTAGACCCGTGCTCTGCCTCAGTAGATCTAGTGATTGACTTGGAAGCTGTTTCTTTTGTAGAAGAAGAGTGCTGGACTGCAAGAGTGGACGTTCTAGAGGTCGTAGTGGATGACGATGTTGACTTTGAACTGATTGCGGTGGCTGAGTGTTCGGCCTCGGGGGTTTTAGTGGATACAGAAGTTGTGGTCTTGCTAGTGGTGGAGGGACTGGTGGTAGTAGATGAAGTCGAGGTGATGGTAGAAGCATGTGAAGCGGTGGTGCTCGTAGTGGTGGTCGTGGTTGACGTCGTGGTGGAAGAAGCGGTTGTCTTTGAGCTGGAGGTGGTCGTATGCTTCTGCTCGGTCGTGGTCGTAGTGGTGGTCGTATGGGTGGTCGTTGTCGACTTTGCGGTTGTCGACTCCTCTTTCTTGGTAGTCGTCGTCTTCTCCTGCTCTGCCTTTGTAGTGGTGTCTTTGCTGCCGCTGTGCCCCCATATAGTACTACCGCTGCTGCTGCTAGACTTGTGCTTCCTACGCTGCAGGACATAGGCCAAGCCATGTCTGGCAACATTCTTGCGAGGATCCGGGTATTCCACAATATCTCCCACTGTCGCAATAGGCTCATAAGATTCGACTGAGTTGGCAATTGGATCGGCCGCCAGGGCTCCGGTAACGACACCACTGGCCCAGAGGGCCAGCAAGAAGGTTTTCCTGAGCATAATTCAGATCTTGCGCGTGCGATGAGGCTATCTGGGATTGGCCTGCTCTGGGTCTCTTGCGAGCCTTTTATCCCTCATCTTGATCGATATATGCATTCGAAGGCCCTTCCTTGCCCACGGTTTCAGACAATCCAACAACACATCGGACTTTGAGATGCTGTAGAGACATCGTGGCCCCTCAACTAAGGTATCACCATCGAGTAGGTATGGTAATAGTGCAAGAAGTGATTGGGGGCTGAAGCTCGAAGGACAAGCTCATTACCAGGAAAGGAAAGGTGAGATGGAGGAGAGATGAAGCTCTGCCCAGTGCCCACCGCCCCCACGAGCGACGTTTGCTTACTTCCTAACTCGCAGCCAACATCGACTTCCCTCCTTCGCCCCCAACTTGACCCACCAATTCATTTGCTGCAGGACCATTGCACTGCCGCCATCGTGCTCACAGTATTCTCGCCGGGGATTCCGGTTCGTCCGTTCATTGTTCCTGCTGCAAAGCTAAGATCTGATCAATGAACTGACATGAGTAGGCTAACAGGTCTCAACTTGAGTCTCTACTATCCACTGTGAGCCGAAATACTGACTGACGGTGACACAATGGCGATACTGAGTCCTTGATCTCCATGCCCCACAGCAGAGTCTACCATCGAGACATGCAACAATCCAATCCTTGTAATTACTTCTAATCCAGCATTTGACCAACAGGCTTGGCGATATAATGATCCTCAACGGTTGAGTATTCATGATTACTTATATTCTTGGTTGGGGAGTGACGCGCGCTGACCATGGTTTCATATTCACCCTGGCAGTTCGCATCTGAGATGAAACATACTTGTCTCTCGTTCGCTCATCCTTAGACCAAAGGCCCTGAATCTTTTTAGTCCTGCCGAGTTATACGAAGTGACCATTAGGAATGCGACTTGGATGGCGAACTGCCATCATCGGATGTTCTCCAGGCATATCAGCCCCCAAATGTCAGGAGTGCCCTGCCTGCTCAAGATTTAGCCCATCTCTCCGGGACCTGAATGATCGGTCCAGAGTTTGTTCCTGCGGTCCTGGCGGATGCTACATTGTCAGGCAACCAACCCCAATGAGCAGCAAACGTTCCACGAGGGCGTTTCAGTACTGGGCTGTCATGCCGGCTTCCGTGAGTTGCGTTTCTATGGTCGAGTGGCCTTGCGAGAGTGTCTTAAGAAGTGGCCGGCGCTAGCCCTCGAACACATTTCACAACTATGTTGCCGATTCGCTCCTGTCATCAGCTCTCTGGGGTTGCGTTGGCACCCAAACGCCTTTCGTTCCTACCAGTATGAGAGGCGCCACCATCACTTTCAGACCTCCGATGGCCCCTCTTTTTGTAACCTTGAATGGAATGGAAACGGTTCCGTCAATTGGGTTCTATTAATTTTATGACAGCTCGGACTTGACAAGGCTATTGGATGATGCTCAATCACGATACCCATATACAAATGCAACAATGCAAGCTATGTACTGAATCATCGGCAAAAGGCAACCCTTTTTGTACAGGCATCTCCGACGGCATTCACAGTGCCCACTATGAGCTGGTCGACTCCTTCTCCTTCAGTCCAGTCTTGGTCTCCACATGCTCCTGACTGAGATGCTGCCGGGTGATGAACATGCTGGCAATAAAACCAACAGCCGCCACACACGCATACAGGATCCATATATTACGAAGACTCCAGGCATAGGCGGATTTTATCGCCTGGCGTTGATCTGCATCCTGAACAGCAGAGATGATCACCACATTGGACGCAGCTTCCGACCCCGAGAACTCATCCAAATATGACGACGACAAGCCTGCGGCGCGGAGATCTCCCTGTCGCATTTCCATACTGTTCTGGAACACGACACCACCCAGCACCACCGACATGGCCATCGCCACGTTGCGGATGAATCCAAATGTTGCGGTCGCGCTTGCAGTGTCCCGCTGCGAGACGTTGCTCTGTAGAGCAAGGAGGGGCGGGAAGAAGAGCAGGCCGCATCCCATGCCGGTTACAATCTGGTATCCAATAATCTTACCCAGCGATGAAGTGGTGTCCAGATTGATGAATAGCCCGACACCGAGAACAACGAGGGTAGTTCCCGCCCAGACGATCTCCAGGTATCGGCCAGTGCCATGGATGAACAAACCAGCAAACAGACTGAGGGCGGCTTCTGTGAGCACGAATGGGAGAATCATAAGTCCAGAGTGGAAGGGAGTCGCTTCTTTTGCTGACTGGAAATAGGTCGGGAGATAGTACTCCGATCCGAGGAAAGCCTGATCACCTGGATGTTAGGAAGTGGCCTACAAGGTGAGAGGATACAGGTCAGACTCACAAAGCCGTGGGTGAACGCGACCAGAAAGCAGGCAACATTGGATCTGTTGTGAAAGACACCCAGTGGCATGAGCGGATACTTGGCCAAGCGCTTCTCACTATAAATAAAGGCGACCGACATCAAGGCGCCAAATACGATAAGACAAATCACCTTTGGCGACCCCCAGGGGAAGGTGGCTCCTCCGAAATCTAGCCCCAAGAGAAGCAAGATGATGAGGGCAAGCATGGAGAAGCTACCCCACCAATCGACTGCCTTGATGCCGGCCAGTACTGGCGTCCTAGGGTTGTGAATGTCCAAGAAGAAGAAAAGCAGCACAAATGCCGTTCCACAGACTGGGAGGTTGATCCAGAAAATCCATCGCCAGGAGACAGATTGAGTGAAAGCACCACCGACAAGAGGGCCCATGGCCCCCGCAATAGCCCAAATAAACTCAATGAGCCCCATGAAAAGGCTGCGAAGTCTGTTCGGAGGTTAGCATTCATCATTCTGGAGTGCGGGTATGCACCGGTCTCATACCGAACACTAAACAAGTCAGAGATAGTGATGGTGATCAACTGAATGAGTCCACCACCAGCTATACCTTGTAAGCCACGACCCGCGATCAACATGGGCATGTCAACCGCAGTAGCACAGATGATTGATGCGCCAAAGAACAGGGCAACGGCAGTGAGCAGAACGGGCTTTCGTCCCCAGATATCGGAGAGATTGGCCCAGATATTAGAACTAGCCGCATTGGCCAGGAGATATGCACCGCCGATCCAGACATAGCCCGACGCGGAGTGCAGTTCTGACGAGATGGTGGGGGTTGCCGTAGCCACGATGGTCTGGTCTAGGGCTGAGATGAAAAGAGCAAGCTTGATTATGCGCGTATCAGCAAGGGCTTATCAGTTGGGCTCTCTAACA